TTGCATTAAACTTGTCTCTATGTGATGAATCAAGATCTATGTATTAAAATCCCTCGAAAAGTTTTTAAAACTTGCACGTTTCCCAACAGATACTCCGTAAATGACTGTCAAATAGATTAAAAGGTCAACTATCTTATACGGAGCAAAGAGTGTTGCTCTTTGAAAAAATAAGTAAGAACAATTCAAACGGGTGAAATGAAGAAATTAGGATGAATGATAGTATAAGTTACTATTAAAAGAGATTGGATTACAAACTAAAATAAGAGAAAGTGTACTTAAGTTGTGTGTAAGCGAGAAGAGAAAGGTTAATTCACATACGATGCTTAAATTTTAGTATTAGGAAAATTCACATACGATGCATGTACGTGATGAAATAAATATTTTGTAAAATAAATAAATTTTATATAAAACTCAATTTTTTATTTAAAAAAAATAAAAATAAAAATTAGAAGATTTCATAAAGGAATCAATTCACTATACAAATCATATATATAAATTAATCTAATCATATATGAATTGCGTTTTTCACATTTTATTAAATATTTTATTGGTTGATTATAATCAATTATTTTTATCTATATGTCTATAATGTTCAATAATTATCATGAATATCTTTACCTTGGCTCTTTCTTTCTATTTGCCACCCAGGTAATTCTTTTATCTTGGCTCTTTCCTAGTATTTGAAATATTTTTAGGTGTGTGAAATGTTTTGTTGCGTTATCTTTGTGAATTTTAAATATTATTGGTCGATATGAATGACTATAATGTTATAACCTTTGTTATATTTTATTTGAGTTTGTGGATTTGTCATATTGTATGGATCGTTTTCATTTACATAATACATGCCAACTAATTCAATTTTGAAAATAAGAGAGTCTGTTTAGAATTTTGAAAAAGAGGTTTTGATTCTTTTATGATTTTTTTTTGTGTTTTAAAATGCTCGAAGTTTAATTAATGGTTTGCTCAATACAACATTATGTATTTGTTGTAAGTGTTTCAAATACTGAGTCCTCTTTTTTCAATGTAAGGCCTAATAAAAATACTTATTAGTTAGAAACCGTTTGTTGAAATTGGGAAATATTTTTTGGTTTGGTTATTAGTATCTCTTTGACCAATATGTTTTAGCTCTTGATCATTTTGTAATATGATAATTGGATTAATATATTTATTTTTTAGATGATAAGTTAATTGTCCAGTTTGAAGTGAAGGCATTTTATAAAGCTTTATAGTTAGCAAACCCATTTTTAAAAAATTCAAGGAAATATAAGTAAGAGTTTATTCCCGGTTCATATAATAATTTTAAGGAAAAATTTTTGGTATTTTTCCTTAGATTGAAATTATATAAATTGGAAATCAAAATTGGGAATGATGTTAGTTCATAAAATAAAAATGGTTTTTAATTTTTATTTTTTTTATGTATTCCGTCACTTATATATATATATATATATCCCATCACCTCTATTTTCTTATGATTTATATTTTTCCATTTTTGTTGATTAATATTTTCATTATGTATTCAAATAATAAATGAAGTGTTTTCAATATTGATGGACTCTTCTCCTATTAATTTTTTTTTTCTCTTATTTTTTTGGGTTGTACCTTGTCCTTCAAAAATAATGATTCTTGATTTTATGTGCTACATGCATATATATATATATATATATATATATTAAAATAAACATGACAAGTGAAATCATATCTAAACTTTAGAAGTCCATCACAAGTAACTGGATAAAATAAAATCTTCCAATTATATTGACATAATAAAATAAATACATTGAATATATAAAAAGATAGTAAAAAATAAATAAATAAAAATATAGACAATCTATTATTACCTAAGGAACTTGTCAAGATGATCGGACCAATTATACAGACTTTTATTATTATAAGACTTACCGCCCTTTTTACATATTCATTTATGAATTTAGTCACATGTTCATCTAAAGTGTTGGTAATAAGAAATTATGATTTCTCTGTGAAACAATTATGTGTAGCTTGGTAAATATCAAAGAAACAAATGAGCAACACTATAATAAACACAAATAACACATTAATCAATAATAAATTCAAAACACTTTTTTATAGAGGGAGTTGAAAAAGTTCTAAAGATGATGAGCTAGAATTTTATGATTAATTTTAATAAAATGGAGGAGTAAATATAATATTAAATTTTGATGAGATAAAAAACAAAAATTAAGAAGTTCATTGGGTACGCCATATCTAAATTTTCTATTAAATAATATCTTTAAATTTTATATCTTGACTAAAAAATAGTAAAAATGTATAAATAAATAAATGAAATTGGGAAGTTGATTTGGTGTTTCCTTCAATTTTCCCATTAAACATTATCTTTAAATTTTTTATATTTTGTTTTAAAAAATAATAAAAATATTTAAAAATAAGAAAAAATAACTCACACGTTTAAGAGTTCTTTTTCTAATTTGTGCCTTTTAGTGTGATTAATGTATAGATATATATTTTTTATGACTAAAAATAATAAATAATAGCATGTTATAATCCAAATAAACATATTTGATAAGAGATGTGAAAAACTCAATTCACATATAGCTAAACTTAATTAGTAAAATATTTTAAATAAATATATTTTATAAACATGTATGTACTACTTTACTAATTAAGTTTAATACTTTACACATAACTAACAAATTCAATATGTACTCCAATCTCGTGTGCAGTGAAAAAATAATACAATTGGTATAAATAAATTAAACTAATTAAAGTATAAATGAACAATATATATCTTGGAAAAAGAGAAAAATCATTCATGAACTATGAACAGAGAGAGAAAAAAAAAGGAACTAATTCACGAACAATTACATTATACTAATTAAAAAAATTATTTACTACAATAAATGAGAAATACCAAACAATTTCTTAAAAAAAAAACATACTTTGTATCCATGTGTATATATATATATATATAAACACACATACTTGTTCAATTATCTTAGAAATAATTAAAATACTTGTATTAGTTGTGTTGCACTCTTTGAACTTTTATTAAACACAACTAATTTTCCATTGGCCTTTGATGTTTGTACATTCTTTTTTAAAATAAAATTTATTTTCTTTGCCTTTCCTTTCCACAAGATATATATATATATTTAATGTTAAAATGTTGTTATTTTGGCTTTAAATGGGAGATATAGTTTCTACAGATTCTTTGGTAGAGTCCAAATAATTTGTATTTTTATTTTAGTTCTTCATTTTTTGTTCAATGGTTGATACACCTTCTATGACATTTTAAATATATATAAAAAAAAAAAAACTTTAAAATTATAGGACTATTGAATGCCTCCACATAACTTCTAAGTCTATGAAATATCAACATTTGATATAAGAATTAAAACTCTTCCAGTTCCCAAAATAAATATTTTTTGTAACCCAGAAAAACAGTGTAAAAAAATCACAAAAAAATAAGATATATAGCTCAAACCATTAACATTTAACAATCAAAAGGACAAATAACCAGAAATGATTTAAGTTCTATATAAAAAATAAAAAAACAAAAGTATATATATATATATATATATATATATATATATATATTTAGAAAATGCTAAGTAGACACATGAGTTAATTACAGATTCACTACTAAAATTCAGGTATGCCTGTGACATTGCAAGGAAAACAGAACATCACCAACAAAACCTGAAAATAAAGAAGGAAAAAAAATCATAAATTTGCATTCATGCAACATTATAGATGCACAAACGAAAAAAGGATGAGTATGTGAAGTGTAATACATGCCTTGTCCAAGAAGAGCTTTGTAGGGAATTGTGTCCATTAGAATCCCTAACAATTGAGCAAACCAGTTCATTGCAATAATTCAATTCAAATATTTGATAAGATATGAACAACCGTATTAAACTGGTAAAACATTTAGAGCATTTTATAAACAAAAACAAAAACAAAAAAAACAACAACAACAACATTACAGCTTAAAGATTAAAGAAAGATGTTTACCTTACATTACAATAAAATCTCAAAATCAACACCATCTAAAATTTAATGATTTTACAATTTCCATAACACTGATCTATACAAGAAAAATAATTTAAATTAATATTAACAATTGATAAAGTAATGAAAAATATATTAAATCCATCTCTTTGCACTTAATGTTTTTAGAATGAGGTCATATTACTTTTCCTTTACTGTCGATAAAACTCTAATATAACAATAATAGTACCTTTTTTGGATTTGTAACTAAACCACATGTTCCATTATTTAGTTAGTTTTGCAGAAGATTTGTGTCATTTGGAGATATCAAGAGAAGGAAACGCCTTTGGATTAAGATGGTTTAGGAAAATAAAATTATGTTAATAACTATATTTAATTTTGCTCAAAGCCTTGTTTGTGTCATTTGGAGTGTCCACAATAAATGCAAGCAATTTTAGATGCATGTGTTTTTTTTTTTTTTTCCTTGTCAGTAAGAAAGAGTTGCCCCTCTTCCCCTTCCCCTTCCCCTTCCCCTCTCCCGTTCATACCCCATCCCCCTCTCTCTCGTTCATATTTTGAGAGAGAAAAACTCTTGTCTCGGGAGAAGAGGAGCAACTCTTTCTTACCGACAAGGGAAAAAAACAAAAAAAAACACACAAGGCAAGCATCGTCGTTAATCATTTTCATTGCACTCTTCATCATTTTACTATAATCTTAATTTCGAGAGAAATCAACAAATTTTGTAGCCATCAGGTCACTCGGATTAATAGTTTTTCAATCCGTTACCGGTCCATAAAACTAAAAAACAAATACAATCCAACCGGATTGGATGAGATTGACTGGGCAAATGCCAACCCTATAAATTAGGATCACATTTGCAGACCCAACTTGTGATGAGCACATGCCAGGCTAACGTCAATAGGAGCTACTTTCAAATGCTAAGTAAACCCACATTATATATATATATATATATATATAGTAAATTAGCATCACATTTGGAAATCACTCAAAACTTGAGATCAGAAAACACAGTCTGCCTCAAAAAGTTTCTCAGATCATCTCTTCAGTTCTAATAACAAAACTTATGAGTAATAATTATTTAAAAAGTATCACAGGTCTCATGAGCCTAGACACATCCTGCATACTGATTTATTCACGTTAAGTGAAACTTCCAACTGAAACTCCAGCACCAAAATTCCCCCCACAATTCTCATTGACACGTTACTGGCACAATCTAATAGGGTTCAACAGGCATCCGGAACCTTGTTCCTGCATAAACTGCTGCCGAGCCCAGTTCCTCTTCAATTCGCAAGAGCTGCATTCATACAAGACAAATCAGCATCTTTAACAAATCACGGTGAACATATTTTATGCTCCCACCACGAACTAAAATATAACAGAAGAGAAGTCTGGCAGTTGTTTTCATGAAAAAGAGTATAATTGATGCATTTCAAAAGGCCAGGATGTCAACCTGATTGTACTTTGCAAGACGCTCTGATCTGCATGGAGCTCCAGTCTTAATTTGGCCCTGATAAAGCAAAATTTCATCAACAAATAGTTGGTGTAAAACGCTAAGGAAGATTTTAATGAGAGATTGTAGTATTAGATTCTAAATACAAACTTACCGTAGCCAAACCCACGGAGAGGTCAGCAATGAAAGTATCCTCTGTCTCTCCACTACAACCAAATAATTTAAACTACTTTAAAACCTTGAACTTTTCAAAAATAGTACAACAAAATTGATCAAATTATGAATTATTGTCTACAATGTCCTTGAGATTATTTCAAACCTGCGATGACTGGCCATTACACCCCAACCAGCTTTCTTGGACATTCTTACAGCTTCAATGCTCTCAGTTACAGAACCAATTTGATTAACCTGTCCGCAGACCAAGTAAAAGGATGAGCTATATTTCTAATCGGTCAAGAATAAAAAAAATTCATGGTGCCACATGAAGAGCAAATTGAATGATACCTTCAGAAGAAGTGCATTGCAAGCTTTCTCCTTTATTGCCTTCTCGACCCTCTGTGAACATACATTCAAAATGCAGTTAAGTGAAAATGAATATGAATGAAACTTCGGTACACCTTTTATGCTTCATAAGTGATAAGCCACAAGAGTATGGACTCGTGCACACTTAGTCCTCAATGAAATCCAAAGCATAGTTCAAGAGAACCAGAGAACAGAAAGAAAATCCATTCTAACCTTGGGATTGGTGACCAAGAGATCATCTCCCACAATCTGTACTTTTTCACCAATTTCACTTGTTAGCTTGGTGTAGTGCTCCCAGTCATCTTGGTCAAATGGATCCTCAATTGATACAATAGGGTACTCAGACACAAATGACTTGTAGAGATCTTTGAGCTGATCTCCTGAGATCTTTTGTGAGCCATCATTCTTCTGCAGACACAGCAATAGAAACAAGAGAGATTACAGATAAATAAACTAAATTATGGTATAAAAAATTTATTTTTTCTTTTTCTAATAGGTGAATAATATATGTATCTACTTTCATACTAGATAAACTGCTTTTAACCAAAAAACCAACACGTGTTTCACATAAAATATGCATTGTGCAGTCTCAAACACAGTTTCCAAGACTTCACATGGGTGACATTTAATCATTTCAAGTTGAAGGCAATTTTTAGCTATGTTACATGGACTCGGATGTCGGATGCGTCAAATCCCCAAATAAATTATTCGTATTATTTAATATTTTTATTTTATTTTCTGGAGTAAAATAAATTTTTTTTATGTAACGGTATTCAATACAAGCATTTCACTTGTTTTGAAGCAATAATATAATAAACTGGAACAACTGGTTACGTGTTTTTAGGTTTATATCTAACGTATTGGACACATATCCCATACCCATGTTCCAGTTTTCCAAATGTTCGAGTATTTTGTCAGACATGGATACTTCACCTACTTCTAAAAAGTCCATGTAACATGGTTTTTTAGCAGGTTAATTTGCTTTGTAATTGATCTTGTGATTGCCATTAATGTTTATCACATTAGACATTCTATACGCGTACAAACAAATCATCATTGGGTTATTTAAAAAGTTGGAAGCTAACTTGAAGATTTTGTTTTGGTAGGTAACTAACTACTCACACACACATTTCACAAACTACCTATTAAAGGGCTCAAACCCCTCACCTCCCCCCCTCGAGGGAGGAAAGGTTATACCATTGGGCTAATGGCTCATTGGTAAAAACAGACTTGAAGATTTTTTGAAGCGGATGATTTGAGAACACATGTAGAGTTTTTCACGCTTCAGATTTTAGAGAACATAGAGTGGACAGCAACATTTTATTATGTTCCTAATATACATTTTATTATGTTCACAATTGCAATCCACAGGAGAACAGTAAAAACCAAAGAAACATAAGATTACAGTTCAAGAGCTGTTGTATTGCATGGTTCCAAAACCTGAGATTAACACTTGGAGATTCTAGATACAACATACAACACGGAAGACAAGTTGGATACTTTGATTCACACACAATATATACCATGAGATGGACTAATATCTCAAGACAAGAGGTTAACTACTCGGCCTCATTCCAAAATTCAAAAAGCACCGACTACAGAAACCGTGAAACATAACAGAAAAATCTCACCTCTTCTTTGAAGTTCAGATCGTAAGTCTTGTCTGCTCCATAAAATTCAGAAGCAGCAACATCCATTCCAATAACCACCTAAGTAAAATGAGGAACTCACAGCTTGTCATCTGAGTGTCAAACTAGCAGGAAATAATAAATAGAACCATTATGCAAACTGACTCACCTTGTCTGTGTAACCAGCTTTAGCTATGGCTGTCTTTAGCAATTCAAGACCTTCCTTGTTCTCCTGAACATGCACAAAAAATTTTTTTTGATAAGTAACATGCACAAAAATGAAGCTTTTTAAAAGTAAAATTAAAAATAATAATAATAACGTAAAAAATAGAAGTTGAAAGTAATATCATAAAACCACGTTTGACCTGAATGTTAGGAGCAAAGCCACCCTCATCACCAACATTTGTCGCATCCTGACCATATTTCTTCTTAATCACAGCCTGGAATTAGGCAGTGAAGTTAGTGATAAGTTGAAAGCCCAAGAGCAATAATAAACTCTCGACAATGTGGAAGTGTCTAACGCAAAAGAAACTATGCATTGGAAAATAATCAGACTATATCGAATGTGAATCCAGAAAAAGGAATTCCATTACAGATTCCATACAGGTGTCGGGACTGACAACTCTAAGTGGACCCACAACAGCTTATGTGTCTCATTCATGTTTCAACACCTGTTAATATGGATATGTTATAGAAAAAAGGCAAATAATAGAATCACATTAATAATGTTCACATTTGCCACTTGGTAATTCGCATGAGATGGTGGACCTCACAAAAATGAGGTGCATACCCTTTCTTGAAAAGTGGATCAACCATCCAACATATAGAATTGTTAAAATGATCAGTTCAAAATTTCCTTGGTGGCACACTGAGGCCAAATGGTGGATCCCAAACTTACCCACCAGAACACTTTCTACTTCTAACATCAACCCACATTGCATTAATGTAACATATTTATTAATAGCTGATATCAGGTCACGTTGCAATACATACAGCATAGTGAAATAGTAAGAACAATCATAAGCCTGCAATTCATTGTTCCAGGCCAAAAAAAGGAGAGAAATGGGAAATCATAACCCACCTTCAAATGGTGATATACTTCCACCCCCATCTTCATGGCCTCTTTGAAATTGGAAGCTCCAACAGGAAGAATCATGAACTCCTGCAAAAACAAGTTGGTGATGAGAAAGTCAAACTTCAGACCCATCTTGATAAATAAAATGAAAGTCAAACTTCAGACCCATTTTGATAGATAAAATGACAAGAATCTATAAAGAGGCCTACCTGCATAGCAAGTTTATTTCCTGCATGTGATCCACCATTTATGACATTGAAAGCGGGAACTGGTAGAACCAACTTCTTGTTACCGGCCAGGTTGGCAATATGCTGCATCCAGAAATTGCCATTTTATCATATTTAGTTCTTCAAATGCATACAATGACTAAAATTTATTCCTGGGCTTTTAGGGCCTTTATGAAATAGAAAACACCACAATTTGGTACTTGATTCGAAGATACGGGGCTGAGAAGGCAAGTTTGGATTAAATTAAGTACGATGACTTGGGTCCAATAGATAATACAAGGATGGGAAGAAAAACATTTTTCTCGTGTTATTATTTATATATATTTTTTGGATAAGTTCTTGTGTTATTATTTATTAGAAGGTAAAGGAAAATTAGTATACTACTTTGTATAAAAAATCCAGCACTCTATTAAACTATGAGTCAAAGGAGTGGGAAATAGGAAACGAATTACCACTGCCTTGCCATTGCTGAAAGCAATAAGCCAAACTTCAAAGTAAAATATACCAAAGAAGGAACAAAAATTATATAGTAAAGATGGAAAACCTGATCACAAAGATACCTTGTAAAGGGGGATTTTTTGGACACTAGCGCCAGCTTTACAAACCGCAAGAGACACTGCCAGTATGGCATTCGCTCCAAGCTGAAAACCACAATTGGTTCACTGGTGAATGTGCTCTAGGTTAGAAGTAAACAGAAGCAATCTGGTAAAATACCTTTTGCTTGCACCAGCCCCACTCATTTACAGTTCCATCAAGTTGCTGAACCATGAAGTTATCGATACTAGTCTGTTGGGTCGGGTCCTGTGCAAAACAAATTAAAACTTCACTTCAAATGAGGAGTCAATATCAAAATTAGACTAAAAATATCATTAATAGTGTATACTCGTATTTCATTCCAAAAGAATTCACTAATCAACCTTTAGGTTGAGCACAAGATTTGATACGTCCATTCAGTATCCAAATTTCAAAGATAAGAGTCCTAACTTCATGTACGTTGATGACAACACACGCGGGAGGGAGGAGGGAAAGAGAGAGAGAGACCAACCTTTCCAATGAGAGAAGGGCCAATAATTGAGTTGACATTCTCAACAGCCTACAGGAAGAGAAAAACAAGATCAGCACGCAGGGTATATGTACACCATACAGTGAGTTAACAGTCTGAACAGCAAAGTACTGACCTTTGAAACACCTTTTCCAAGGTAATCTGACCCTCCATCTCTTAATTCAAGAGCTTCATACACTCCTGAAAAACAAAAACAAAAAATTACATACAATAAACTTTTTTCCACCAGATAAATTCCAAAAAAGCAGCCATACTTGAGCATCATTAAAAACAGCAAATCCAATGAAAACACTGCTAGAATTTTCAAATCAAGAATTGTTGGCACATCAATTGTAAAGGATAACATTTACAGCAGAAAACTTGTGAAATCGTTGAAAATATTTACTGAAGCAATAGGCCCAAAAGGCTAGCTTATTTTTCTTGATAGTGTGAAAATATAAATTTCTAATAGGTGAAGTTCCTAATTTTATTTTATTTTTACTTGAAATGGAGATTGTGAGCACATCTTCAATGCAATAATAACAATAAATTCACCACACTAGCAGGTTCAATATCCCATCCATAAACTTTCAAAACCAAAAAAAAAAAACATTAAAATTGCTAAAAGACACAGCTCACCATCAGATCAACAATCATAATCTTGTTTCATAATATTTACACATATAAGTTTACACATCTGTTACAGCAGGTGACAATATCTGCATTTGCTATTACACCATACTACAGAGCTATTACACCATACTACTATGCTCTGTAATTCCTTCCTGTGAATATATATTGAAGCAAAACTTATAATCCATTTCACTGTGTCATGCAACCATGATTTCAATGTCTAGTTGAGAAAATAAACTGAACTGAGTGAACGTATGAAATGATAACTAACAAAATTAAAATATGTATGAGCGTGTATGACTCTAAATTGCAAAAGTAATAATCGTACCAGTGGATGCACCACTTGGAACAGCAGCTCTCGCATAGTTGCCATCTGATGTATACACATCCACCTACACATATGACGCATCCAATTGATCAAACATATAAAAGAAACTATAATTATACAAACATGTATGTATATATATATATATATATATAAATTTATAAATCCTCTGCAAATATTTTGTGAACTAACTAATCACATCTTCTCCCCCTCCCCAAAAAAAAAAAAAAAATGGTCTAATAAATACTAAAATCAGACTATACACTGATGGGTGGAAATCATAGATTTATTCATACAAAAACTAAGAATAATTAATTATACTAATTTGATGTTTAAAGCAAGTCTGTTGATGAACAGTGAACACTGTATTGCAGATTCAGTGCACCGATTCGGCTTATCGCTAAATAAAAAGCGTAGTTCACAAAAACAAGTTGTGCAACCAAAACTACATAAGAAGAAATCAAAGTATATGTGTTTGAAATCAAACCTCGACAGTGGGATTGCCTCTGCTGTCGAAAATCTGTCGCGCCTTAACGCTCTTGATCGTCGTGGCCATGTCTTACTTTAGATTAGATCTGCTACGAGAGAGAGTAATACTGCGATTGCTTTTACAGGGAGAGAGAGTTATACTGCTATTAACTTGCAGATGTAAGAGAGTATTGAAGGCACAATACGTTTTTGTAGAGCAGACTAGGTTTATTATCGCCGTTCGATTGCCTAATTAGGGCTACCGACTTCACCGAATATGGAAATAATGAATTAACTTGCGACGAAAAAAAAAGGTATTAATAGTTAGCGAAACAGTACATTGTCGAACTGAATAATTTTTTATTTATTATTTATACCAAATATAACTAATCAAAATTTTAATACCTTATTTATTATGTAATTAATCAATTAAAATAGTAAGTCTATTAATTAACTACAATTATTTGGTATAAGAATCATTTTTCTAATGGTTCGTTTGGTTAGCATGAAGTAGGTAAAAATGAAAAAAAAATTTAATTTTTAGGAGTTTGGTTATCTGGAAAGGAAAAATTTTTGGAAAAGTGAAATTCCCGCATTGATAAATTTTTTCAAAATATTTTGCCGCAAAAAACACAAGAAAGTTAACTTTCTCGCACAAAACTGTCATTTTATTTTCAAAATTCCTATTATGCCGAGTTGTTTCACCATTTTTTTTCACATAACAAATATAATGGTTATTAAATTCAGACTTATAAAATATTCCAACAATTATTATATATTGGGACACATAATTTGATTATATCCAATACATCATTACCTAAAAATTTTGGAAATAAATTAAGAGTTGAAGGATGGAATATTAAATAATATAACTTTTAATTTTTATCAATATCTCAATAGAAATATGAGAAGAGATTAATTTGAGTCATTATATTATTTATATGACATAACAATTTTACATGAATGAAAATCAATATAATATTTATTTTTTTACTATCTACACAGTTTTGACTGAATAACGTTTTATACTGTGTAATTTTTGCACAGAAAAATTTGCATAGAAATGGTTCATATTCATAAAAAATATGAAAGGGGACTGATAAATTATGCATAAATCATAAAATTATTATGCATGAATTATAAAATATGTTACTTTTGCATGACAATTTTTATTCTAGAGTTGCCATTTAATGTTTCTTCGAGGGGACTTAAAAAAAGATATATTTAATAATTCAATAAAATATGAGTATGTTATCATAAATGAACTATATTCTACATATAAATATAAATAATTATTATTGAAAACACAAAATAAAAAAATATGGCAACTAAAATGCAGTCGTCCTTAGTTTTTCTAATTTAAATATGAATATAAATAATAATAATAATATTTAATAATCCATTATTTTATGATAAAACATGAGTATGTTATGATAAGTGAATTATGTTCTACATATAAATATAAATAATTATTATTGAAAACAGAAAATAAAAAGAATATGACAACTAAAATGTAATCCGCCTTACTTTGTTTAATTTAAATATGAATATAAATAATAATGATTATTATTATTAATCAATTATTTTACTATTTAATTGCTAAAAATTAATATAAATAATTGGGTATAAAGATGATTCATCCAATACAAAATTAATTTATTTTTTAATATTTTAAATCATGACGTAAATCATGATACAAAATAAATAATTACGTAAATCATTTGTTTTTTCCCTTTCATGCTATCCAAACTAATAAAATAATATTTTCCTAACTTTCCTGAAATTTTTTCTTGCTAACCAAATGCATGCAAGAAACTTCATTTTCCTTTCTTTCACTTTCACTTTCCATCATAAATTTCCGTCTAACCAAACGGACCCTAAAAAAAAATTTAACTTGCTAGAAAAGACAAAATTTGAAAAAAAATAGCAACGGGCAGAGTTGGGGCAGGTTTAGCTAAACCTTACTCCATCCCATTAAAAAATTCATTATGCTAACCCTGCCTCTATTATTTATAATTAATATATCATTTGCGTCCCTACTCCGGCACACATAGTACTAACCCCACCCTACGTACTCTTTCTAATTGCGGAAGCGAACGGGTTATGCCACTTTTATTATATAACAAAAAAAAAAAAACAAGCCCAATGTGTTAAATCGGATTGATAAATAAGTTAGCCAAACTTTTAAATTATTAAGTAATAAATATTAATATATTAATTGACATTTGCAACAAAGTAACGAGAGTCTTAAAAATATTAAATATATATATATTTGGTATTATGTATAATTTTTAAAGGTACATATGTAATAAGGCGTGGGTTTAATACTAAATCTGCCACCGCCCCAAATCCACTTCAAAATTTTAATTATTTTTATCATCCCTATCCCAAACCCATTTGGGGGTTACCAAATCCGTCTCATTCACAGTAAAAATGATTTAAAAATTTTCTAAATTAATTTTCTATAGGAATATAAATATAAACAAATACTTAACAAATTTTTAATCATAACTTTTTTGAAAATTAAAATTCAAAATATTATAAAATAAGAAAAATATATATTTATTTATGGTCCGGTCGAACAGATTCTAACATCTTTAAAAAAAAAAATTAAAATCAAAACTGAACCGTACCGAACCAAACCAAACCCATTTGATTAGAAAGCTATGAACTAGAAGAAGGTAATTTTTGGACTTTATTTTAAACTAAAAGTTATGGGAACCCATTTCGGAAAGGTCAACCTTGGAATTATTTGAATATTTCGTCGATTTAAATATAAAATTAAATTCCTTCAACATTTTAATTGTTTTTTCTTCAATCCTTCAAAATTTCAAATGTTTTTTCTTCAATTGTGATTTTGGATATTTGGGTCTGTTATTAAAAATCTTTCATTGATAAAAATGTCCGTGAAAGGAATTTTATTAGAAGGAATTCATAAAGAAACAAATGGAACCCATAAACATTCATTATGCGTGACATACACATAATTTACCTTTTTTAAACATTCATAAGTTAACTTTAATTTCAGGACATTCAATGAATATTACTGGATTAATGGTTAAAATTAAGACAAAAATAAATATATATCACGACAATATATCTTATATTTACACCAATTATTCTACTTTAAGATAAAATTGCTATGCGTGACATACACATAATTTACCTTTTTTATTTTTATTTTCATTTTCAACCATTTAGTTATTATTATTTCCTATTTGCAGCTTTACATTGTAGAGATGTAAGAAAATAGCTTTGACAATAACAGTACCCTTAAATGAAAGGCAAAGTCAGCCTTAATGACCATTATATATATATATATATATATATATATATATATATATATATATATATTTCCATTTTATTAAAAAAAATTAAAAATAACCCACTAAAAGACATTTATTTTTTATTATTATATTTTATTACAATCACATGTTACATAATATTAATGATTTTTAAACTGAGCATGCCTTTGATTTTTATTTTTATTTTTATTTTTTTCCTTTCCGAGCATGCGTTGAACAATCAACTTCAGTTAGGCATGTTTGGGTTTTGAGTCTTTTGACTCGAACAAGTGCATATTTTGCAAGGGATTCTCAATTGTTTATTATCATCACAATTCACAAGATCCGAGTTTACCGGTGACTTCTACCTCTCTTTTTCCTCATTAAATTAGAAAAAAATAAAAAATAAAAAATAAAAAAATACCTTCACCCTAACTGTGGACCCTTTTTTAGTTAATTGGGGTATAACTGTGGACCTTTTTTTTTTTTAAGTCAATCGGGGTATCTAGAACTTTCTCCCGACTAATAAATTCTGAATACGTGAATTTAAAATTTTATTTTCACTCATAAGAGCCAAAACTTAACCAACCGCGGATACTTCATTCAATAATTTTAAAAATAAAAATATGTGATACATAAAATTGGGTTCATGATGTTCAATAGAGTCAATTATTCATATGGATGATGAAAGATTTGTTTCCATCTATGGATTCTTGTGTATATGGTTTGTCATATTTAGACTACATTTAGTCGGGTGGATTCCCACTGCATTTAGTTCAAGTTTGTTGTACTCACTTGTTGCACAAGCAATGTTTGAAAGTTAAATTCCGAAAAATATATATTTTATTATTTTATTTATTTTTTTATCTTTTTTTTGGGTGAGATATTGGGAAGTCGAAACCTACCTACATTTTTACTTTTTTGCGTTGTCTAGTTTCTATGCTTCGGATTTCATGAAGATAGCAATATGATGAATAGCTAAAAAAAAATTAAAGTTAAAAATAAAGGTCTAGAGTGAGGATTTGATATGGAGAAATGAAGCAGTATGCCATTTTAATACATTACTAGGTAGTATATAATTTCACCCATTCAAACAAGAAGTAAGATAATTCAAGGAAATATACTTTTTTAAAATTATTTCATAAACGGATATAAAAAATAAAAATAAATAAAAAATCGGTTGATATAGATGATCTCATTTCACAAAAACATTCCAACATGTTGACACCACCAGATTTTGGTTGAAATACAAATTTTTTATAGGAGTATATACTATTTAAATCACTTTTGCAAATAGATGTTAAAATTATATATATAAAGTGCATTTAATTATAAAATTAATATATTTACGAAATGTGCTTCCAAAATTACAATCTCCAAATATCAAGTACCGTACCTTCCAGTGGTCACCAATATTTTGACTGCATGCTATACAATTAAGAAGATTAGAAATTAGTCAAAAGAGACCATTATTTTATTTACTTATTTTACGTAAAAGAGACCATTAATTAAATACAGTGACTTTTTGAAAGTTTGGTGTCACCTAATGCAACGTATAGATACATCATAACACATGCTTGCGGGGCGGAAGCAGCATGTGTCCAGTGGGGTCAACTGCCCCTGTTCATGCTGTCGCATTAGATTTTTTATTTATTTTTATACATAAATTTGTAAAAATTAATAAAATGTCCCATCTGAAATTAATAAATTGATCCTTCTGTTCCTAAATTTACTAAATTTTATTTTATGTTTATACTTTGTAAATATTTTTAAAACACTCCTATAAAATTTATAAATTATCCACATAAAATTATCTGTTTCTAAAAACGTCTTTAATTCTTTATTTATTTTCCTTCTTATTTTTCAAATTTCTTTTTGTCACCTTAAAAAACTTTTGCATTCTTTTTCTATAATTAAAACCTATTTTTTCTTTCAAAATTCTCTCATATTTTTTATTTTATTTTATTTTCTTCTTAAAAAATTCATTTTTCTTCTT